GGAAAAGACGTAACACATGGTTCTGTGGATTCTGCAACAGCATTTTTTAAAAAATCACAATTTTTACCAAGTACAGAAGAAACGAGGTTCCACTTGAACGATGCTCTCTCCACTAGAGTCCCCTTGGCCATCACGCAGGTATGGAAAGAGACCTTCAAGTGATTGTGCTTCCTCTGGACACGAAAAAATCTTCTGGTTGTCCCATGCTCCAACCTGGTGACTTAGTTCGTTTAAAAACTCTGTCATTCTGTGCTCTCCTTATTCCCTGCAGTGACTCCTCCTGGAGAGCCTCTCCCACCCATGCCTGGCCGCCTCTCTTCCCTCCTCCACCTGTCTCTCGCCTCGTGGCAATGGCTGAGAGGCGTTGGGGAGGAGTGACATCTCAAAAGAGGACAGCCATCTGTCCCGGACCCTGGAGAGTGGCTAACCAGTGCCACCTCTTCCTATCAGCTGTGTGTCCCTGACACCACTTATGCCACAACATGACCCCAGAATAACAAACTAACACTCAGAGATACACTTGGATTAGCCACAGCTTTCAACAGAGGCAGGAAACAAAAACTAGATGTACAGATCACCTTTTCAAGATCGACAGAAGCAAGCCTGGCTTTTCATGGAAGTGAAGAACTAGTTAACACCTCACTTCCTTCCAGCTGCCTCTTCCCCTGCCATCGTTTCCCATGGTCGTGGAGTAACCACTGCTGGAGCTCCCAGCTCCCCTGCAGGTAAAGGTACCACATGACCAGGTCCTGACTGATGGGTTGTGTATAAAAGTCCCCATCCCACCACTGGTCTCAAGAGGGTGTCCCATCTCCTCGGAGGCTTTCTGGGAATTCTTATGACCCACCTCCTTCTGCCTCAGATATGGTTCCTATATCTGGAGTTGAATGAGCCAGTTTATGATCATGAGAGAAAAGCCACATGCTGAGAACAGAAGAAAGAAAATGGGAGTAACCTGGATCCTTGATGGCCCAGTCGAGTTCTTGTCTCAGTTACCTTTCTTGTTAATGAGACCAGATATTCAACACCCAAAATTAAAGAGAGAAAGGTTTATTTACCTCACAGTTTGCAGAGGTTTCAGTGCATAATTGGCTTGCTCCATGCAAGGGGACAACAATTCATGCCAGCGGAAGATAGCAAAAGCAACAACAGAGGAGACAAGCTTCCTTCTGTCCCTTATATTGTACATAGACTACCTGCCCTAAGGCAGATGTAGCATTTATTTGCACCCTGACTCCCAGTATTGGACCATGAATCAACCACAAACTCTAGATTCAGCCACCTCTGAAAAGCCCACCTCCCATGACTGCATGAGGCCTTGGGGGGAATCCAGACACAAACCATAACGGTTTGTGAATTGTCTTGATTTTTGAGACCCTCATGTATTTAAAGTTTTCTGTTACATTTAGGCCAGTGCAGGCCTAACTGCTATGCCATGTGCCCAGCACCTGTACTCCTGACACGCTTCACATATCTGCCTGGCTTTCGATTGCATCCGTTTGATTAAAGATGAATGTTTTTTAAAGACCTGTAACATTTTTTGGAATTTGGCAAGCAACTCAATTTGTCCATGAACAGCTGGTACTTCCAGTCACATCATCTTCACCATGGAGAATTTTCCTGCCATTTACTGAGCTGTGCCAGGTAGGGGTCTTACGATATCTACTTTCCTGGAAGTTAACTCAGAAAGTTTAAGCCATTAGCCGAAGGTCTTGTGAGGGCAGGTGAGGGGCAGACTCTAGAGTGGAACCGAGGGCTGCTTAATTCACTTCTCTACACCTCTCTCTGTGGCAGGGTTCCTAGAAGAAGCTGTTTAAGAAGCTTTCTCCCTTTAACTTGAAGAACTAGGGGCCATGCCCAACTCCTGAGGGTGGAAAGACCAGGAATTCTTGCAGCCTTTCAGATGACTTAGCAGGAGAGGTGATTGTTTTAGCACTGCTCTCCCCCTACTAATGAAGATTCTGAGGCCAAAGCAAGCCGATCAGCAGCCCAGGACCACCCTGCACAATGGGGACAGGCTGAAGATGGGAAGCAAGGGCCCTGAACACCAGGGTCCATCCCCAGACCCAGACCTAATCATTATGCTGTGTTCTCTCTCTGCTCTGACCTCAAAGACCTCCACTCATTCATTCACTCACGTGACCTTTGAACAAGCACTTAGTGACTCCAAGGCAGCAACCCTGCCCAGGGCTGAGTCAGCCAGGGAGACTAAAGGATACCACCAATGTGACAGGGCCAGACTGAGGGGCTGGAGTGGGATGGGGAGCAGCAGGAAGGACATATCAGCATGGAGGAACAGCACTGCAGAGAGAATATAACATGCAGAATGCCACAGCATTGTGCACTGGGATGCCAGAGGATCTCCGGCCAAGCAGATTTCTCCTCACTAGGAAATGAACTCACCACTGTCAGGAAGGTGGGTGCGGGCACCCAGCACTGGGAGGCTGAGGCACAGGGTGGACAAGGCAGCATTAGGAGGAGCCAGGGGGAGCTGTCTGCAGAAGATGGGGTTGGACCAAGAGTGAAGTGGCAATGAGGAGTGTCAGGGAAAGCAGGGAGAAGCTGGGGTGTCAGCTGGGGACAGGGTCCTCAGCAAGCAGGCAGAGAAGTATGGTACTGTTAACAAACAAGCAGGCTGGGCTAGTGCAAACCCAACAAAAAGCCCAGCCTAAGCGTCAGTCCCCACTTTACACAGACCCCTATGTCCCACCTCAAGAGCTGTACCATATCCTGCTGGTACCACAGCATGTCAGTGTCTGCAAAGATTCTTTTCTGCTGCAGCCTGACTTCCCCAGCCTGAGAGAGAAGGTGCCTGCAGGCGTGTAGTACACCAGGCCCTGGCTAGCCCATCTGAGCTGGTGGTGATGATGCCAGCAGACCCTGAGCAAACCACAAATCCCCTCCCCTCAAGTCCCTTCTCATGCCATTAAAGTTAGAAGAATTGGGCCTGGCCACCATCCCTCCTGCTCCAGGGCCTCTCACCCCCCAGCATCCAGAGGTCATGTTTATCGGCATTCCTGAGATCCACCCCACAGCCTTCTGCCCTTGTTCAGACTCCCCCATCACATCCTATTTAAAATTGAAACAGCCTTTGATGTGTGGCCAGGGTCTAAGGTGCTGGGTGCACCCGATTATTTGGTAATCCAAATATATTTGCTGAAAACTAATTTTCATGTGACACTGAGCCTTAAAGGTTACAAAAAGGAAAGAGTTGGACAAGACCAGTAGAATCCGTGGGAGAAAGCATTTTAACTGGAAAGAGAAGTGAGAACAGGAGGAAAGCAGTATGAGTAAGGTCCCAGGAGGCAGACATGTCCTTCCCTGTGCAATGTATTTCACACTTAGGATCCCCAACCTATCAGGCCCCCAGAGTCTCCTGTCAGATGCATGAATCCTGGCTGCCTACGGCCCCCTTCCTGGCCAGTAATCATTACTCACCTAGGGTGGGGAGGTAGGTGAGTGGGGTGGTACTGTGGGAGGTACAGCTGGGCTGCAACCATGACATTTCTGTCCTGCACTGGTGGCTGTTGGAACCGCCCCCATCTGCTCCTGACCTGGCAGCTAGTTGCTGCAGAGTGCAATGATCTGGAGTCCCTGTGGAGGCTCAGCCTCCCTGAAGTCTACACTCCATGCATTCCTTCATTTCCTGAATTCGAGATAAGGTCTCAATATCTTCTTGAGAGGAATCTTGAGCCTAGTCCAGGACAAGGTCTGGAGGAAGTGAAAGTCTTTAACTTGTGAGGTCCTGGGTGTGAATTGTGACTCTGGTACAGAGCTATTTCTGTGATTGTGTCCAAAACACCTTCCCTGCCTGAATCTCAGTTTCCTCCCCTAAAAAATGCAGTTGTGTTCAGCTGGACAGGTGGGCACAAGCCTGTAACCCCAGCACTCCAGAGACTGAGGCAGGAGGATCACAAGTTCCAGCTCAGCCTGGGCAACTTAGCAAGATCCTTCCTCAAAAAAATAAAAAGAGCTGAGCATGTACAGAGGCACTGGGTTCAATTTGCTTTTTTATGCAGATGTGTTCAAGTGTGTATTCACTTAAAATGTAGTTGCGGAGGGTTTACTGTGTGCCAAGAAACAAGGGTACGAGACTGAGGTCGCTCCTGGACACTCAGAGCTGGCGGGAGAAAGAAGCATCAGCTGGAATTATGACAATAATGAGTGTGCAACCACAAATGTGCAAACACAAAATTCAGCGGTTTCATACATGCGTTAACAGAGTCTATGACTCCTTGGGTAGTGGTGGCCAAGCAAGCAGCTGTTATTTGAACAGTCCTGACAGATCTGTGAGCCTGGTCAGCACCTCTGAATGCGGGGTGACTAGAGTCGGTGGGCCTGTTTCCTCAGCTTCACACTGAGGACCTGTGACTTGCATGTGTTGATCCTTAAGGGCAGGAGGCAAGGTTTTTTGGTTGTTTGGGGGTATTTTGTCTGTCTGTTTATATCTGGATTCGAGCTCACGACCTTGCTCTTGCCAGGCAGGCGCTGTTCCTCTAAGCTAAATCCTTGGACCCTAAAGTTTGTTTAATAAACAAACTTTCGGAGGCAAGGGTCTCAAAAGCCACCCTAACGCATATCCTTCACCTGAGTCAGGGAGCTGCTTGGCCCAAGGTAGGTCCACTTAGCGCTAAGAGTTTAACCCAGAGGCGCTGTGAGAGCACTGGCCGCGTCCTCAGCGTCCTTCTGCATCCTGCCTGTAGGACTACAGTGCCACCTCGTGGCTAAGGGGTGTTTTTAACACTTGGCTTCTGGTGGGTTTCAATCTAAGGAGCTTCTCCCCACCACTCAGCTGTTCCCGCTATTCAAACACGGTGGTGCTGAGTCACAGTGCGCACAAGTTTCCAGATGGGGTAATTAGATGCGGCCGGGGCTATTAAGGGGGAAGGTCCTTAAGTCCCCAAAAGTAGTGTGGGGTAGCGTAGCTCCGCGCCCACCTGGCCCCGCGCCCACAAACTGCACCTTTGTTGACAGCAATCTCTAACTACGCCTGCGCACCGCCACACACGCGCATACCTTCGCCAAAATAAGAAATGTGTCCCTCGCGCCACTCCGTCTGTTTCTAAGGCAACCCCAGTGCCTCCTAGCAACCACGCGTGCGGCCCGGGGTGGGCCTGCTGCGCCTTTCCCTCGCCATGGCAGCGGCAAATCCCAGTGTTTTCCTGCTCATGGTAAACGGCCAGGTGGAGAGCGCCCAGGTGAGCAGCCACGGACCCTTCTGGGACCCATCTTCCAGTTCTTCCAGAGTCCTTTCCCGCAACCCCGACGGCCGCTTCGTGGCTCGGAGCCATGTCATTCCTCCGAGCTTCTTGGTTAGGCTGGGGAAGAGAACGGCCTTGAGGCGCTTGGTGCCAGGTTGCTGGGGAACCTTAGTCTCAATGGACAGTTGTAAGAATACATCTCGAGAGGTTGAGCTGGTGCAGAGGTCACACTTGGCCAACCCGGTACACCCCGGCTCCGAGCCACTTGGTTGTCACTGGCAGGAGCCTCCAGTGACTCACGGAGAAACAAGAGTCTCGGCGGGTACACAGGGCCTCGTCCTTAAATGACTGTCTAGGGTGTCTGTACTGTGCGCAGTGAGTGCCCTGTTTGCCAAACCCCCATCCTTGAGCTTGGATTAGAATTGGGATATTTTGGTTAGTCTGATCCAACCGTGGTTGTTCCTGCTTCATCAGGGATACTGCACCCAGCACCCACCCCTGTGCACCCAAGACCTGGTACCCAAGACCTTCTTCCCCTTCTCCTATTCTGCCCTATGAGGTCTCCCAGGTGGGCTGAGTGCTTTCAGCACCGCCCATCCCCGAAGCTCTTCCCTCTGCTCTGGGCCTCTCCCTGTCCTCCAGCTCTCAGCTCCACCATGCTTATGCTGTGTGCTCTTGTGGTTCCTGGGTTGATAGACCTTTCATGGAAATACTGTTCCCTTAGATCTCACCTGTGCTCACCCTTGTGGCAGACAGTGGAGACACAGAGAACTGTGAAACCTTTTTCCCCTTCACGGTTCAGTGGGGATGACAGACACAGACACACAGGTATTCAGCACCTTGATACAGGAAAGTACAGAGACTAAAGGAGCCCGAGGTGACCTTAACAACAGCCTTGGGCATCAAGGCAGGCTCTGCTCTCTGAAGGTTGTGTTTTAAAGGATGTGCAGGAGTTTGCAAGATGATAAAATGGGAAAGCACATAAGACAGCAGAAGCCAGGCGTGGTAGCACACACCTGTAATCCCAACAGGAGAATTGCCATTTGTTTGAGGCCAGCCTGGGCTACAGAGTGAGTTCAAGGCAAACCTGAATTACATAGGGAGACCCTATGTCAAAAAAAAAAAAAAGAAAAAAAGAGCCTGGGATTTAGCTCAGCGGCACAACACCTGCCTGGCAAGTACGAGGTCGTAAGTTCCATCCCCGATGCCAAAAAGAGGGGGGGAAAAAAGGCAGAGCCTGAGCACAGAGGCCTTGGGGCAGTAGCAGCTGGGTCTCTCTCCCACCGGCTCCCTCATCTCAGGCCCCAGCTTCGGCTGAACTCCATGTCTTGGTTTCCAGATGCCTCGTGTTCAGAATGCCTGTCAACTGCTCCTGCTTAGCCAATACATGGGTCTCAACTTGAGTCCCAGAGAACAGAATCCCTGTGCTTTCTCTGCAGTTTCCAGAATACGATGACCTCTACTGCAAGTACTGCTTTGTGTATGGCCAGGACTGGGCTCCCACAGCGGTAAGCTGGGCTCTTGGGCCTACTTTACTCCTTGACTGTCAAGGTTTCTGAAGATGATCCTCAAGCTCTCCACCCCCACCCCCCCATACACACACACCTTCCAGAACCAGCTGAGAAGTTGACACTGAGGGCAGAGGGAACCTAACCATGAGACTGTTCCTGGCAAAGCTGGTACAGAGAACACAGCCCACACTGGGGCCCTGCCTATCCCCCATCTGCACTCCTCACGGAGCCTTTCCTGTGAACTGGTAGTTGGCCAATAGATATGTGTGGGCAGGGCCCCCAGAGCCAGCCAGGAAGCGGCTCAGTTGTAGATGCTCTGTAGTCCCCTTCCCAGAGGTGTTGGGGAGCTCTGGAGGGGCAGGTCAGTTAGTGGCTCTCATTCCAAGACTTCTTGGGGCCTCCATCTGGGGAGCAGTGGAAGAGAAGACCTCAGCTGGCATTATGCTTCAGTGTTTGCATTTATTTTTTTAATCCTTACAACAGTGTAGGAAGAGGAGCCCAACTTATGTGACCTCTCTGAGCCTCAGTTTCTTCATCTGTACAGCTGACTGATCTAATGATACTTATTTACCATCAGCCATTCATTGAATAACTATCATTGAGTCTCCTGCATGTTGAGAATAACCATGGTGACCAAAGCCAGACAAAAATCCTTATCTTTCTGCGCACAGTGGCACACATCTGTAATCCTAGCACTTGAGAAGCTAAGGCAGGAGGATCACCATGAGTTCAAAGCCAGCCTGTGCTACAATAGTGAATTCAAGACCAGCCTAAACTACATAGCTAGATCTTATCTAAGAACTCTGTGTCTTCCTAAAGTACACACTCTTGGGGAAGATGGATAGTGAGTAGTACACATTCTGTTATGTTAGCTAATAGCAATTACCGAGGGAGAATAAGGTTAGCAAGCAGCGGGTATAAGGGATATGGGATATGAGGAAAGCTGGGCTCTGGGGAAGGTGGCCTGGGAAGCCCCACTGAGACGACTGCTCCTAAGTAAAGATCTGAAGGAAGTGGGGACAGGCCATGTGGAAACCTGTGGGGAAAACTTTATGAGGAAAAGGAGCAGAGTTCAAAGGCCCTAAGGCACAAAGATGCCTGGTGTGTTTGAGGAGCAGCTGGGAGGCAAGATGGCCAGTGAGGAGGGTAAGCAGAAGATGACTGGAAACATACAGGGACGCACGGGGCAGAGGTAAGCACCAGGACCTTTACCCAGGGGAGCAGGGGCCCTCCCAGAAAGTTTCAAAGGATTGGGAGGGAGGGAGGCGTGGCTTCATTGGAATCCTTGCCTAGCAAGTTTGAAGCTCTGGATTCTATCCCTAACACTGCAAAAGGAAAAAGACAAGAAAAAGGAAAGGAGGAAGGGAAGGAAGAAAAGAAAGAGAAAGGAAGGGAAAGTCTCCCCTGGTGTCTGTGCTAGGAGACTCCCCTGGTGTCTGGGCTGAGAGCTAGCACAAGAGTGGGGAGGCCAGTAGGCTGCGCAGGGCCCAGCTGAGAGGGAGCACGGTGGTGGGGGGAGAGTGAGACATGGCTGGAGCTCAGGTTTAAAGATGGAGCCACCAGGCTTTCCTGCTAGACGGGTGGGAGGCAGGAGGGCGGCTGAGCGCTCACAAACAGAAGAGCGCTGCTGTGCTGAGAGAAGACTGGACAAAGCAGATGTGGGGGAACTGTTCAGAGCTCAGCCTGGTGTGTGTGAAGACTGAAATGTCACCGGACATTGTGTGGAGATATGAGGGTGGCAGCAGTGATACTGATCTGGGTTCAGAGAGAGGACATAAAACTGGGACTATCAACATACAGACCAGGAGGTTGAAACAGGAGGATCACTCAAGAGCAGCCTGGGCCACATAGTGAGACCTACACGCACACGCACACGCACACGTACACGAAAGAAGCCGATCAGATCTGTAAGGTGTTCTGATGGATCAAATAAAATGAGGCAGAGAAATGACTAGAAATAGCAACCTCATAGTCACTGGTATTATTTATAGAAACCCTTGGTGAGTAGTAGAGCAATATTCTGTTCAGAGTGGGCTCACCAAAGAGCAGCAGAGAGCGGAGCTGGCGAGCTGGGTCTTCGGAAGCAGCTCGCCACGATACCCCTAGTAGGGAATGGGCTGGTGGGTGGAGGAAGAAGTGGAGCTGCAAGGGGATTGGTCGTGATAGAGAAGTGACGCATGCGCGCGGGCCTCCCCGAGAGAGAACTTGCACACCTGGCAGCTGCCTTCTCCGGGAAGGAGCTGCTGTGCCTGGGAGGGCCTGCCTGTCTCTTAGTTCTGTTCGTTTTGCAGTGCAGATTTCGCTAGAAGATGGTTGAAAAAACAGCGCTCCAACACCTGCGGGGTGTAACCCCCTGGCACTCAGATCAGCTGTCACTGTTGTCCCACAGGGTCTGGAGGAGGGGATCTCACAAATCACATCCAAGAGCCAAGACATGCGGCGAGCCCTGGTGTGGAACTTCCCCATCGACGTCACCTTTAAGAGCACCAACCCCTATGGCTGTGAGTCTGCAGGCCTGAAGGACAGGGACATGAGGGGCTGGAGCTCCCCGATAGCACCCCCACATCACCCTGTTCCTCGTCCCCCACCACTGGTCACATTTAGATCATCACTATCATCTGGATCTTTTTTTTTTTTTTTCTTTCATTATACTGCCCAGGTGGGCCTCAAACTCATGGCAATCTTCCTGTCTCAGCCTCCCAAATCCGGGACTACAAGCGTGTGCCACCTCACCTGGCTCATCCAATGGGTCTTGCACCAACCTTTGAAGTTCTTGTCCATTTCTCTATTTCTTCCTGATCTTCCCCACCCTCAGCTTATCTTTCACATGCTGGGCAGTGGCCCTTCAGAAAGTTCAGAGGTGGTCAAATCCCCGGGCCCGGCATCTCCCAACTTCCTGTGGCATGTTGTGCTCCAGCCTCCCCCAACATGTGCGCCTCCCGTGCCAGTCCCTCAGGCTGCCTGCTCTGAGCCCTTGTTCAAGCTTCTCGCTCTACCTGGCTGCCCTCCCATAGCCACACCTGAACTCTTTCCCAAGCGCCATCTGCTCGAAGTATTTCCCTCCTGCCTTGTCTAATGCCTGTTATGCCAGCACTGAGGAGGCTGAGGCAAGAGGATTGCCACATGTTTGAGGCTAGTCTGAACTACATCAGCCTTGGCTAAAAAAAAAGAAAAATGAAAAACCATTCACATCAGCAACATCCCTTGCCTTCAAACTAACAGTCCACCTAAAAGCTAGGTTTGGATTTGAACTTACGCCATCTGATCCCTATCTCAGGCATTTCCCAACTCTCCGTGCAATGCTTCACAAGAAAAAGGGTACACAGAAGAAGCATTTTGCCCTGGCAGGATTCAGGGGCTGCCACAGAACTCAGCAGTAGAGATAAATTTTATTTTATTTTATTAATTTTGTCTTTTTGAGACAGGGTTTCACTGTGAAGTTCAGACTGACCTTGGAACTCCTTATGTAGCCCAGGCTGACTTCAAACTCACAGTGATCCTCCTGCCTCAGCCTCCTGAGTACTGGGATTACAAGGCATATGCCACCACTCCTGGTTTCTGGAGAATATTTTCTTTGACTATTATGAAATTAAAGCTAGGAACCAATGACAAAAGGATGGAGAAAAAGATCTCCTCCATATGTTCAAAAACAAGAAAATCACTTCTAAAACCAGCCCAGATGGCGAGGAAGAAATAATGAAATTAGGAAATATTTTGGAGTGAATAATGATGAAAATTTGTAGCTAAGGAAGTTGAGACTCAGAGAGAGTGCATAGCTTGCCTGGGCAAGATGGTTCCCAGCCTGGTCTGGGGCCTCACCCTGTCACTGGAGGCTGTGATCTCTTCCTACATGCAGAGGACACAAAACCTAATAGGTGAAGGGACCTTGGTGTTAAGGTGAAGAACCTTGGTGTGAACAGGAAATGGATGCAGCTGCTAATATTTGACAGGGAAACACCTGGGAGGCCTTGCTTTCCCCCTGGCTTCTCAAAGAAATCGCCTGAATAGGCCCCTCCTCCCGGGTTCCATGAGCTGTGCGCCACCTCCATCAGAGAAGGTGCCAGAGAGCAGGCAGCAGGCCCTTGTTGGCTCTGCTCACAACAGGAGCCAGTGCCTGGCATGGGGTCCAGAGGTGCTTCCTGTGCCTGTCAGGTGACAGAGTGGGGATACCACTTTGGCTGTTTCTCAGTGAGCAGCAAGCAGCAGAACACGGGAAGGGGCCCTCTCAGGAGCCTGGGAGCCCATGGTGCCTCCCTGGAGCCCACCTGTCCCAGGACTTAGCTGGACATCCTGTTCTCTGCCTCCGGCTTCCCCATGCGCTGACCCTGGCCTTCTTCCCAAGGGCCACAGATCGTGCTCAGCGTGTATGGACCAGATGTGTTTGGAAATGATGTGGTCCGAGGCTATGGGGCAGTGCATGTGCCCTTCTCACCTGGCCGGTAAGTTATCACCCTGACCTCTCTGGGTTATCCTTTTCTGGGTCATTCTGTCCTTGAGATTGGGTACCCTTACCTGGCAGGCCATCTTGGGCTCAGGCTGGTTATGCCTTGGAGTCCCGAGGGCCTGGGCAGTTAAGCCTGGAGTGTGGCGGGTGTGGCCCAGGTCCAGGAAGAGACCCATGTGCGTGGGGGCCATGGTGCCAGAAGACCCCAGATGGGAAGAGTGGGGAATAAGCCCAGAAAAGACCCCTGGGCTCACCCCGTGTGGGCTGCAGCCACAACACCACCTGCTCCATGTGGGTCTCTCCATACCTTAGCAGAGGCTCTGAAGGCACATCCCTTTCTTGCTGCTGAGTTGCATGTGAAAATATTTGTTTTAGGCACAAAAGAACCATCCCCATGTTTGTGCCAGAGTCTACATCCACACTGCAGAAGTTTACAAGGTGAGAGTTCTGTCTGAAGCCCCTAGCAGCTCTTCTCATGCACTTGATGAGTGGCTGTTGCATTCCAGCCCTTGTGATGTGCCTGGCAACCTTACCAGGCCTGAGTCTGTTCTACCTCCTGGGGACACATGGAACTGAGGTCTGGGCTCCCTTAGCCCTGAAGAGAAAATGCAGTTAGCCTCTTAGAAGCAATCAGGAGGTCAGAAAATGACAAACCAGGAGACGAGGGTGGGGTAGGAGTGGGGAGAGCAGGGGGGCAGGCCTGGGTCAGGATACAGGGCCCATGGGAGGGCCCAGGGGACAGATGCTTGGAGCAAGCCCAGCAGGAAGCTTTCTTATCCTTGGGCCAGTGGACACCAGCTCACTGACTAGAGCCGTTCCTGCCCCCTACAAGTCTGATCAGAGTTGGGGAGTGAGACCTGGTTAGAACCCTACAGGGCAGAGAGACAGATAAGGGCCCAAGAAGCCACACTGAACTTTGAGGGCCCGCAGAGGGGAAGGGCAGCATTCCCCACTGGCATCCACCCAACAGTTTAGGTGCCCACTGTCCCTAGAAGCCTCTCTGGAAGGTCACTCGATGGGAAAGGGCTTCTTAACCAGATGCCCTGGCCCAGTGTCACCTAGACATGACAGTGCCTGTCCCCGCAGCTGTCTGGGAAGCAGTGGTCAGGTCGTGTTTGTGGGTTTAGGGAAGAAGGGGCTTTGAGTGCCCAGTGGCCATTCTGCCACAGTGTTTGTCGTGCTTAACCTCCCCACACCCCAGTGAGAGGTCCCTGAGAAGAGATAGAAGACTTATAGGCGGGCTTCTGGCCTGTGCCTTGGGATGTCAGCTCAGTGTCAGGAGTCACCAGCCCTTTACACGGGCTCCCAGATGGGCAAGGCTGTGTGTTTTTGGATTATGGAACCAGGGAGGGATCTGCGCAATGCAGGCAGCATGATCAGCCAGACCTTCCAAGAGGTGGTGTCACAAACTTGACATCCACAAGTACATAACCCGTATCATTATGCCAAAGCAGGGTGCTGGCAGCATGGTGCTCCTTCCGGAGGCTCTGGGGAAGGCCCTGCTCCCACTGCTGTCAGCTTCCCATGGCTGCTGGCCTTCTGTGGCTTAGGGGTGCGTCTCTGCAGTCTCCGTGCCTCCTCTGTGTCATGTCTCCCTCTGCAGCCTTCCATGAGGACAGTGGTTCCATTAGGACTGTTCTGTTAGGGTATCACTAGGGTTATCCCAGATAACCGAGGATCATCCAGGACCCTCCACATCACAGAATCCTTAATTTAAGGGCTCTCAAAGAATCTCTTTCCAAATAAAGTTGCATTCAGTTCCCAGGACAAGCGCCGCATTTCTCTGGGGGCTGTTAGACTAGTCTTCCTGTGGCTAGTAAGATGGTGTGCCCCAGGGCCCAGCCCTCCCTGCCGGACACACCCGGTCACATCCCCTTGAATTGAGGGTTAACTTCAGCCAGGACACTGCAGTGCCCTGCTGACTTCTTGGCTCTCCCCTGCTTGCTTCCCATCTGCCTGTTCCTTCCTTGCCCTGAACACTCCCCTGAACAGTCTGTCTTCTCAGCCTATGAGCAAACACGCCTGCAGACCAGGGAAAATGGTGGTGAGGATGGGAGCTGCTCCCCAGGCCTCAGTCCTCACAGCCACCTGTGAGATGGGTGCTGTTAGAGCTTTGCCTTGCTTCATGGTGGGGAAACTGAGGCACAGAGAATTGGTGCCTCTGCCCATCACTGGGAGTCAGTGAGCACAGCACATGGAGCCCAGAGCCCTGTGAAGCACCTTGAGAATGCTAGTACCTGTCCTCAGAGAGGGCACAAGCAGTACATTGTATTGCCATGGCTACCAGAGGGCCATGTCCAGTGTCTGATGCCAGGAATTCCCAAATGGGGCCCTGCTTATGGATGCTCTCCTGTGTCCCCAGCTGGTTCATGGGACGACGGCCTGAGTACACGGACCCCAAGGTGGTGGCGCAGGGCGAAGGCCGAGAAGGTAAAGTGTGATGCCCCACCCCACCCCAGCCTTGAGGTGGGTTGGAGCCTGGAGAGGGACTTGGTAGGACCTAGCACCCAAGGTCCTGAGAAATAGATTGGGGTGAAGGTCAAGAAACTGCCAGGCATCTGAAACCTGGTACTGCAGAGATGGCCTCAGAATTTTTTTCAGAGTGCCTTGCAGATGATACCCAGTTGGAGCAGAGGGTTTGTCATGTCTGTTTGTCCCACTGTAGCCTCTTTACCTCCCAGTGAAGGACACAGGCAAGCATTGTCATCCCATTTCACAGAAGAAAACACTGAGGCTTAGAGATGTCCAAAGCAGTTGGGTCTATCTCTGCCCAACCCCATCCAACTGATGCCATCTCTCTGTCCCCAGTGACCAGAGTCCGCTCTCAGGGCTTTGTCACTCTCCTTTTCAACGTGGTGACCAAGGACATGAGGAAGCTGGGCTACGACACTGGGCCTGCAGACACACAGGGCATTGCAGGGCCCAGCCTGCCCCAAGGCATCCCAAGGTGAAGACCCTGGGTACTATGCACACCCGTCCTGAGTCTCACTGGGCAGCTAAGCAGCTCCCTGATGTTCAAGGGCACCTTCCTGGAGTCCGCCACTGACCCATCATCTTAAGTGCAGCTTGGTGCTGTGGGGTTTGGGAACAACAAAATAGTTTTATATAATAAAGTCACTTTGCAGAGAACCAGGCTGAGGCTGCTTTCTCTTTCCTGTACCACGCCCATTCCCCATGGGAGCAGGTCTCCATGACCTTCCCTTGCCTCCAGCCCTGCTGAGCATGGTGCTGGGAAGGCTGCTCAAGCCCGAGTGGGAGCTCTGACACCCCCAGTTGTGCTGCTCATGGCTGTGTGGCCTTTTCAGCACCTCAACACACTCAGCAGCACTCGGTTAAGTAGTCTCTTGCTCAGTGCCTGGCACTCTCTGGGCCAACTGTGCTCCACTGCTGCCAGCCCCTCGGTGTGGAGAGCATCCTCTTAGCAGGAGCTGGGTAGTGGGGGCCCTGGGACAGGAGCTCCTGGCCTGTTTCTCTTGAAGCCTGAGGACAAACTGGAAACCTTCTGGGGTGGAATGCTGCTGGTTAGAATGTAACTTTCTGTCAAGCCCCATAGCCCAGCACCCTGACATCTGTGAGGGTCTTGGGCCACTTGCACACAGGCCCCCACACCACAACAAGAAGGCCAAGATGGAGCCTCCTCCCCTTCTCCATGCACACACCCTGGCAAGGCTGTGTGGTAGCCTTCCCTTCTTCAGCCTAGGGAGCACTGCAGACCCCAGCCTGCCACACAGCTTCCCTTCGAACAGCCATGTCTGGCTGAGACACACGTCAGTGGGATGCCAGGCTATGTTGCACTGTGCAAGTCTCTGGCCTGTTCCTTGAACCTGGCCTATCTGAACAGCAACCATCTGAACAGATCTTCCTCATCTTGCAGGGTACCCCCCTCTTTTGCCCCCATCACTGTGCATTCTACAACTCCTGGTTTAGCCTCAGCAAAACTGCTATAGTTCTGACCATGTCCTCTGAAACTGCCCTGTCCCCTACACCTCTCACGAGCACCACTTTTCATCCCAGACCCATGCACCTATTCTTGGTGACATTGCAATCTGCATGAGTGATCCCTCCAACTGCTTGGCCTCTACCCCCTCACTTGCATTGATCTTGACCTCTACCTTGCAGCCACCCATTTCCAGGGTCAGTACTACTTGGTCAACCAGCTGTTGCGTAAGGTATCCAAGCTGTGCCAGACCACTCCCTCATGAGGTCTTCCCTGGGGCTCCCAGTCCAAGCCCTTCATCCAAGACCTCCAAGCCACCAGCCTTCCCCTTTTTGCCAACTCCTCTTCCCTTGCTGGCTTCTGCCCATTTCAGCACTGATGGTTGTCATTACACGCACTCATCTGTGAGCCCCTGGACATCCTCCTTTCCAGTACATCATCTGTCCAAAACTCAGCCCTGCGGGGGACTCCCAGTTGCCTACACCTGGAGTGAGGGCAGGCCGACCTTCCATCCCTGCTTCACTCAGTAGCTCGCACCCTGCCCAGCCCCCGGCTGCATTTCCCTCTTATCTCTGAGGAAACTTCCACACCTGTCTCTTCAGCCCTCCCTAAAGAGCTCCCTCCTGGCACCAAAACCCACACCCCCAGAGATGCTTTTCTGAGGCCCCCTCCTCTAGAATCAATGGTGGCTTCTGCCCGCTGGCTCCGCACAGATGTCACAGTTGCAGAGTGCTCATCCCCAAGCTGGCTGCCTTGGCTTCTTGACACCTATCTATCTATCAATCATCTATCTACCTACTAAGAAGTGAACCTAGGGAGTGCTGAACTACATCCCTACTCCTCTTTGATACAGGGGCTCAGTTGACCAGGCTGGCCTGAAACCTGTGATCCTCGTCTCAGCATCTCAAGTGCTGGGATTAGAGGTATATGCCGCCACAGGCAGCTGCACACTTTTTTATTGTTCTTTGGGAGGTTATTTATACTCAATGAAATGCACAAACTTTAATTGTGCTGTGTGCTGAGTTACTTGGTTGGCTGGCTGGGGTTAGTTTTGTTTTGGTTCTGAGGATGGAACTCAGGACTTCACACATGTATGTAAGTAAGTAGTCCACTAGGCTGTGCCCTCAACCACTTGCTGAGTTTTAACAAATATACAAACCAGCTTGGATTGAGGCTTCTCACCCCCTTTTTTTTTTTTTTTTTTAATCGGTACCGGGGATCGAACTCACGACCGCCTGCTTACAAGGCAGGTACTTATGCCGCTGAGCTAAATCCCCAGCCCCGTCATCCCCCTTTAAAAAGATGACTTTGAGGTGGCTTATGTGGCTGCTGAGCTGCTGGCTCTATGGGAGGAGAAGTCAGAATTTGCAGTGGTTGGCTATTGCTGTGCTGTCACATAAACTCAGGAAGAACTTGTTAGTTTTGCAAGCAGAAATAGAAGGGAACAAAATAAATCTTTAAAATGTTGGTATCAAAAGATTGAAAAAGGAAAGCCAGGAGCTGTGGCACACATCTCAGCTTTTAGGGTAGCTGAAACAGGAGGATTGCAAGCTAAAGACCAGGCTAGGAAACTTAGCAAGATGCTCTCAAAATAAAAATATGCAACTCAGGGATAGGGTATTTCCCCAGCATACACAAGATGAGAAAACACTGCCAAAAGCTAGAATTGGTGCAGAGATAAGACCGAAAAGTACTTCAGATAATAAGGATCGAACAAAAACTTCATTTAAACACAAGAACTCAGTTTTCTGATAAGTACTGGATGAAGAGCTTGCCCTCCCATGGTGGCCCAGATGTCCTCATGGTAATCCATCATTTACAGAGAGGCAGGGCAAACAAGGATGAGACAGCTCATGTCTAAGAAGGGAAGAAATTTATGAGTATTCATTATCTGTTGCTGTTAACAAGTCACCCCAGATGCTCCATTATTGTGGCTCTTGACTCTTTAGGTAATGAGCTCAGCTGGACTGGGCTGTACACCTGATGCTCACCCCTGCAGTGGCCGCTCCCCAGTGCTCTGCCATGTGGCCTGTGTCTGAACTTTGGGCAGCTGCCTGCAGCTAAGTCATGAGGACCAGGCTAAGTGCAGACCACGCGCACATCGGCATCAAACCCCTGCCTGCACTGTACCCATGCTGATGTCCCATGCACCTAGCAGTGTGAGAGCAGCCCACACTAGCAGACAGGCCCCTGAGGGGTGGGAGGTGGGCCTAATGTCACCCTAACCAAAACAATGTATTTAAAACTAATGGGAAGCAAAGAACTCAAAACCCTGGCAAAGTCTGGAGGGCATGTGCTTCCACAGGATCTGTGGGCCCAGACCAATGCCTTTGATTCAGACAGTCTTGGTCTTGGTCTTGGCCAGGAGGTACAGGCAGCAGGCAGCAATGGAGTACTGCCTCCCCATCCCCACGGAGCTCTAACACCCACCTCGGATGTGACCAAGGGGATACAAGCCAGGATGGGCCTCCCCTCAGCACAGAGCTCAAGACCTTGAAGGAAGTCTGTCAACACCCTCCCCACCAGAGCAGAGCCCTCCCAGCCTCTCCTCTTTTCTCAGACAGAACCACCTCAGAGGTCCGGTACTGCCCATGTCCAGTGGTTACTCATACCTCCCACTTCACTATCCCGTGAGTGGAGTCTCACCTGTGAAAATCACCCCTGCTGAGATGTCTCCTTAACTGTCTAGATGTTGTGACCGTCTCTGGCCCGGCCTGCCTCACAGAGAAGCCCCTCCACCCACCCATGTCCCATGGAGACCTTTGGCTTTGAGCTGAAAACAGAGACTGACAGGACCTTCTGACCTACATGTGGAGGGAATGATTTGGTGGCCAAAAGACCAGCTGTGACAGTGCCTGGCAATGTGTAAGGCAGGTCCTTTTCCTGTTCCCCTGGGTAAAAAATGGGACCCAACTGACAAGATGGCAGGTGGTGGCTCTTTCTGGAGCTCTTCTGTGGTATGAAGTGCAGAACACGGGAGACCTGAGGCCCAGCCTTGGAGCTGGCACACTCAATGCCACCTCCTTCAAGGCAGGGTCCATCATGAGGGTACACGGAGGCAGAAGCCAGAGAGGAAAGGGACTCAGAACACTTCCTCAACATACTTTGCAGACCTGTGGGAGCAGCCTTCCATGGCAAGTCTCCTGCACCTTCCCCAAAAGTTCAGGGCCACCAGGATCAGATGGTGGTCTCATCAAGTCAAGCTGCTCCTGGGCAGACGCTGGCCCCCTACCCTGCCCAGTCCTCTCCAGTAGCTCAAGATGGATAAAGATGGAATGGGAGAAGGACACAGCCAGAAACTGCATCATGATACAAATGATAAATTATATTTATACAGTAAATAAGTATCAACAGTCAACACAAGTTCAAAACCAGCCACCGGCCCCCGGAATTGAGAAATGGCTGGGTGACTTCCTCCACCTTGGTGCTCATCAGGAGGGGTACGGTGGCACATGTGCAACTCGCAGTGGCCGGTGGCTTCATGATCAGTGCAGCGGGCAGCAGGAACAATGTGCGCTCAGGATGGCCTGTGCCAGGAGGCAGGGTGAGGGGCTCTTCTCAGACCCTGGTGGCCCGTGGTTGTTGTGTTGGGGTGTTGGTCTTATCAGGAAGGGCTTTTGTCTATTTCCAAAGAATCACTGACCCCAGGAGCTGGGTCTGATGCACTGCCCTATACGCTGCCAGGCTGTACAACCCTGGAGGGAAAGCACCATCGCGGGCAGGTACCCTCCACTCACCCTCTACCAGCCTCCCTGAATGACACTGGAGTCTAAGGCCAGCCACAGGCCTGCAGTGCTGGGAAGGGTAGCTGATCAGGAATTAGGGACTGGAGCAAGGGGGAGGGCGGAGTCTCACACAGGACCAGAGCAGTCCTCACTCAGTGACCTCATAGCCTCCTCCAGCCCAGGGACACTGCAATCCCTCTTGCGCTGGCACTAAGGGTTGGATCTCTTTCTGGAACCAGAGAGGAGCAGCCAGGTGGTTTGCTGCCCTTGGAGCTGGAGATTAGAAGTCTGTTTTGCAAAGCAAGCCAGAAATACCCACCAGGCTGCCAGGACATACAGGAGGACTCAGGAGGACTGACCCTTCCCTGGGTAAAAGCAGGTCTTCTCTGGTCTGTAATTTGGGACTTAATACTTCTTTCACAGTGGTGAGTAGGGTGAGGACAGCAGGAGGTTGGAAGAGGGAGATAATATTAGTGCATGTTTGTTAAAATCTATCCAAGGTGACAATGAATTCTCTCATCTCCAAAATAAGAGATGACTACTTCTCAGCCTGCAACCTGTGTCTGGAGATGGCAGGTAGGTGGTTCAAAGCAAGCCCTGGTCCCCATCTCAGTCAGGGGGACTGTCCCCGGGGACCCGTGGGCACAAAAGCCCCTCCCACCCGAGACAACCACTGTTTCCACTGATCCTGTTGTTACCCTGAGTGAGGACCCAGTGAGAGGAGAGCACAGATGCAAGGCTAAGGTGCACCCTCCACTTTCCCCACACTGTAAACAGAAGCCCCTATTAATCCCTGTGTGCCTTTAATTAAAAAAGGAATTAGTTGATAAAAACTGGTGAGTCACATTCATGTTAATTTGTTTCCTTTATCTTTTGGGACGTTGGTATACTGGTAAGAAATAAAGCCTCTCTCAGGACCCAGCCAAAAGGGCTGAGAGCTGATTGGTTTGGTAGTTCACAAAGAGGGAGCTAGAGAAAGGAAAAGGCAACTGGAGGCAGCAGGTTTTTGTTACTGGTAGAGGTGGGTTTTTCCCTTAAATAAACATCATTTTTGTGTAATCAAATTCGTGTATTTTTTCCTATAAAGAATTTGTTTTAGGTTCCCCATAAGGCATATTTTTCTCATCCAAACATCTCCTCCTTTTTAAGTTTTTTTACAGAGTTAAAACCATAAATAAGAGGATTTAAACCACTAAAATGACATATGCCAAGATCTTAATTCAGCCAGACCTGGTAAATTCTATCAAAACTAGACAGTTAAATAAGAACCACATTATAAAAATATTAGCCAAAAAAAGACTATTAGATAATTCTGCAAACTCAAATATGAAACTGTACTAAACAAAATATGTGCAAACGTGTACAAGCATAGAGCCACATGGCAGGGTTATGCTCAGATTAGTTTTAAAGCTCGCTCTAGTGGATTTAATTCACAAGTTGTCCATGGTGGTAGTGTTTACTTTGAACTCACACATGAGTCAAAGGGAAATAAAATATGCACAACCACTTCGCCAAGGTCAGTGTAGAATGGGGCTGGCGTTTTATCCCGTCCATACCCAGGACTGGGGCTGGGTCGTGGGAGACAGAGACAAGGTGACTGTCCCAAATTCTGGGCTAGGCAGCATTTAGGGACACTGGGCTGAGGTTGCCGATGAGGACAACACTGACAACTTCATTCTGCATCCAAGGCCTCAGAGGAGCCTGGTCAGGCCAGGGAAAGGCAAGGACACGTGCCACATGCCATTCAAGTCTGAGGGCCAGGGTAATAAAGGACAATCCTTTTACCAGGAAGCCGGAACCAAAGGCCCCAGTACCCCCAGGTCACACTCTCAGCCACTACCCCACACAGAGTCCTCGCTCAGTGTCCTCTGGCACAGGTGCTCCGGGTGTGTCCCAGGCCCAGGACACTAGAGAAGGAAAGGATTGGTTGTGCCGGGGGCCTGTGCTGATGATGGAGGCATGCCCACACTGCCCACCATGTTCATTGTTGTGGGGCCCAGTGGTGTCAAGGTGGAGCCAGTGGCCCCCAGAGCTGGATGTGGGGCTGCTGAAGTCATGGGGGCCACAGCCATGGGCTCCACCCCTGTGCTAGGCCCGAAGGATGTGCTGCTCCCCAAGACTGGGCTCCCCCTCAGCTGGTTCAGCGTCAGTGGCTGGGGCTGGTTCACCTGGAAGGGGTTAACAGGGGCCGAGGTGGTGGTGGTACCTGGGGAAAAAGCAGGAGGGCAGAGGTTGAACTGTTAGGAAAGCACTGTCCCCTCGGTGGTAGGGAATGGTCACCCTCAAGAAACATAGCTCTTCGTCTGTAGGGAGCTATGTTCTATTTTTTGTTTCATTTTTGAGATAGGATCTCACTATGTAGCCCAGGTAGGCCTCAAACTCATAGCAATCCTCTTGCCTCAACCTCCCAAGTACTGGGAATACAGATGTGCACCACCACAACCAGCTCTATCTGGATTCTCATCAGGCCTCCATCTGGATCCAGATCAGGCCTATTGTGCTCTGGTCCCTGATACACCCTGAGGGCCCACAACAGTGGTGGTCACATCCACAGGAGACACTAGCAAACAGGCTGACCACATGAATTGCCCTGCTGAGGGCCAGGAACTATATAGTTATCAGAAACTTGTGACTTTTCCGGGCCTGTGCTGAAAAACAGTGCTAGCAGTGCTGAAAAACAGAGCTGAAAGACACAGCATGCCAGGCTCAGGACCCCCAGGTCCTCTGCAGGGCTAGTGTCCAGAATACCATCAGCAGCAAATAGCTGTTCTTGACCCTCATTCTGTCTGCCCAGGTATGGCCACAGATGCCTGGGAGAAAGGATGGCTGGGGGCACAGGAACTACAGCATGTGGCTTGCAAGGCAGTACCCATGTGGCACCCCGGGACCAACATACCAGCACTATGAAGGCTCAGGGAAGCCTGTTGACCAGCCTGCTTCACTCTGTCTCCCCACCTCCCTTTAACAGGAAGTGTCTTTTACCCATTAGCAAAATAGCTGGGGATTCTTTGCCACCAGCTGTGGTGGTGCCAGCTTCCAGTCTCCAGCCCAGCCCTGCCCTGCTCACCAAGGCAACATGCTGCTCAAGAGTGACCAAGCCACCACCAAGGAGACAAGGCTGCTTGCTGCTCTTTGAGCCTAAAGGGGAAGGAGGGCTCACCTCCTAGGCCTGCCATGAGAACTCTGAGAATCACCCCTGGTTCACAGCTAAGGAAAAGCAGATTGCAGAGGCATAGCTGCCCAGCCAGGAAGGGAACCAGAACTGCATCTCTGGCCCACGCAACCCCAACTGACAGCCAGGACCACCTGTGTGGCCTGGAGAATGGCTGTCTGAGTCTCTTCCCTAGGGTCCACAATGGGTTCACTGTCCCAAGATCGCAAGGAAATATCCTCAGAGTGGAGGACAGAGCTGTGCACAGGAGCTCCTTTGGACCCTGACTACTCACTGGGGGTTGAGATGACAGGAACTTCTAGGTAGGAATAGGCTCTAGACTGACTGAGGCTCTCAGGCCCTAATTCAGCTCTATCCATGGAGCTTCCCTCCGTGAACCACCATATCCTTACTGACCTAGGCCTCATGAGTGGGACCCAGCAACCCCTCACATTCACTTCCACCTACGGCCACAGCCTAAGCCCTCTAGAGGCAATGGCTACTCCTCTGCAAAGTTGAAGGAAGCACAGGTCTTGGGACCCTCTGACGCTCTGTAGCCTGGGGCCTGGTCAGAGGCTCACACATTCCTGCAAGTCCTTGGGGGAGTCTGCAGGAGAAGGAAGGCCTTCTCAGAGGAAGAGGTCATCTAGGCTGGGTGAAGGAAGAAAGAGAAGTGGGGATACTCTAGGCAGGAGATGGAATGTTGTGCCCTGGAAGTAAAAGAGAGGGAGTGTCTCATGTTTGAGCAGCATCATAGAGTCACTGCAGCTGAAGACACGATGTACATGGAGAGGAAAGACAAAGGGGCCAGACTAGGATGCCACAGCCAGACAGTAACCCCAGTTACTGAGTCAAACAGCTGAGGGCCTGGCCTACACCCAACATGGAGCCCCTAAAGGGCACAGAGCAGAATTCTGCAGTGTGGGACTACGGAGAGGGTCCTTAGGTCCCGAGTGAATGGCTTATGTTAACAGGCCACATTAATTCCTGCCCACAGCCGGCAGATGTTGGGTGGCGAACCCTGGCTCTCCCCTATCCCAGCACACTCTGCCCCTCTGTCTGGACCAGAACCAGCACTCCCTTCAGGGTATCCCTGCCAAGGCTACCCAGTTAGGCAGTTTCTGCTTGGTAGTCTCAACTGAGGAGAAGGGAAGCTTCTTTCCCTTTGAAACAGATGTGGCCCTAGAGAGAGATGGCTGTGTAATCCTGAGTTCCTAACGGTTCTGCTCCTTTCCAGCCACACATGGGAAGCCCGTGGAGCTCTGGCCACAAGTAGAGAACTATAGGAACAGGAACCCCAAAGTGGGAGGCAGTCAGCTCTGGGGCCATCACACATGCAGTCTGAGGGTAAGCAAAGCAAGCAGCCAAATGAAGCGTGGACATATTCCTACCTGGTGCTAGGAAGGGGTTAAGGGACTGGGCTGGTGGAGTAGGCCTGGTCACCAGTGAGTCCAAGTTCACCAAAGCAGCGTTGGGACCTAGGAAGGACTCGGGTGTTTTCCGGGCACTGCTGGGCTTGCTCGAGGCCATAGTCAGGGGCTGAGACTCAAAGGGGTCAGGGCTTGTACTTCCACTGTTCTGGGATGGCAGAGAGGGTGCAGACTCGGCTGCAAGACAAAGATACACATGGCAAAGTGAGCACAAGTTCAGGCCCCAAGACCATGCAACTAAAGCTGCCAACTCCACAAGCATAAAACAGAATACAGATATTCCTGATGCCAGGGTTCCCAGCACACACATACTGTGTACGATGTCCCCTCCAGTGCTTCTTCCAACAGACCCAAGTAGAGACACATAGCCAGCTGCGAGCAGATTAAAGTTTTGCCCACGTAACCAAACACCAAACTGCAGAGACATCTGAACAATTAATGGTGAGCAAAGAAAAATATATCAAAATAATAAGTAGAAAAAACAAAATATTCAAAATAATACGTACAGCAAAACCCTTCAAAAATATTAAGACGTTACTTGGGGTTGTTGGTGATGCATGGATAATATACATTTTTTGTATCATTTACATTTTCATTTTCTACAATGAACATGAATTCTTGAGAGTGAGGAGAGTGAAACTGTGTCCTAAAGTTCAGTCAATAGAGGGTGTGCGATGGGTTGGCTGGGATGCTTTTGTCTTGCTGGGCTGCACTGTGACCATGGGCTCAGATCACTCTCTCACTCAGTAATGCCACTTATATGAACCCAGTCTCGGGAAATAATGCAAAATGTGAACCAGACTTAAGCACAAAAATGTTCACCACAGCATTATTTATTTTCGCAAAACAGGAAATGAACCTACAATGTCTTCCCCAAACTGATGATTAAATACAGTGGTGCATCAGTTCATGAACTTTTTCTTTCCATGATTCTGGTTGCAAACCAAATTAGAAGAGAACTGAATTGAATCAATGGTCAAGTTCAATACTGACCTTATGAGAAAATTTGATTCAGTTCTCATTCCTTTAGGTATGCAATCAGAGTTGTGGAAAAAACTGAGTTCAAGAACCAAAGTATCACTGTAAATTACTGGTAAGCAATGTATATGTGTTGCCGAAGCTGGCACTATTACTGAGGAATCTAATAGATTTTTTTACAACCACAAAAAATGTTTTCAATCTGTTATCCCATAAAAATCAGGATAAGGAAGGACATGACTTTATCTGCTATTATGAGTTAAACAAAAAAAACTGCTAAACCTGTAACCCCTGCACTCGAAAAGCTAAGACGGGAGGTTCAATATGAGTTCAAGGTCAGCCTGAACTACAGTTGAGACCCTGCTCCAGAAAACCAAAACCAAAACCAAAAACAAAAACAAAAAAATTTTAAAAAGCAACGACAACAAAGATTGCTGAGTTCAGAGAAAAATAACTGGTGTGGGTGTGGTAGCACAGGTCTGTAATCCCAGCATTCAGGTGGCTAAGGCAGGAAAATTGTTATTCAAGGCTGGCCTGGACTACATAAACCCTGTTTCAAACAAAACAAAAAGACTTTAGAAAAAGACACTGGAAAGAAATATATTGGATGAGTGTAGAAAGAAGAAATGCAAGTAACTGTTGTTTGCTTCCATAAATGCTTCCAATTTTCTACAATGGGATTCTGCTAGAATTGGGGATAAATACTTAAAAGTGAACAGTGAGCCAGGGCCAGGCTGCCTTCTCACAAAGAGCTGGAAGCAACGACAGATTTGGTTGTACTTTGGACCACAGAGAATTGCGGAAACTTGTTTTTTATTTAATAAAAACAAACTCTTCAAATCAACAGGTTCTCAAAGATGCCTCTGGTCTCCTTGCTGGGAGTCCCTGAGCGAAGAAGGGGTGGAGAAGAGGGCCAGAGAGCTGCTACGCAGTTACCCTCGAGCAGCCCCAGCAGACCTGTGGTTGCTGTTGGGGGCTGGAGGGAATGGGGGCAGACACAAGATAGACAGGGGCAGAAGAGTAGGCAGGAGGAGGGGTGGGAAAATGGGGAAGGCAGTATGGAGAGCAGAGGGAGAAGAAGAAGGAAGCATGCATGATTAGGAGGTGAGGAAGAAGGGGAATGGGTCTGACCAGGACTGGGGTCTCCTAGGTAGCAGCTGTCACCTGGAGCTCAGGGATGGAATGGGCAGAGCCTGGCTTCACTCCTGGCCAAATGGAGGCTGTCTGGGAAAAGGAGGCCAGTGGGAGTAGAAAGTTGATGGGAAGGTGGCTAGACAAGACAGCTTTGACCTGAGGTGGCCCACACTGTAAAGGTGGGTTACAGACAGGCCATTTGCATGCAGCTAAGCTGCTGGAGACAACAGCCCAAGAGAGGGCACCAGACACAAAACAGGACTCAGTGTGAGGAAGAGCTAACAGGAAAACCCTCAAGACTTTTCACTGTCAATCTGTGAATTCCCAGAACTAAAAGTTTCAGGCTCCCAAGATCAAAATGCAAAGAAAATATATGACGTTGACAGATGTGAAAACTATGATTTCTGCAATAACTGAGCTGGTCAAATGCACAGAATATTATAGAAGCCATCTTTACCTACCTGTTTTTTTTGAAGTTCGGAGGTTGTCAAATTCAGAAAAGTCATCTTTAACTGTACCATTGAAATTACTGAAGAGTTCAAAGGACCCTGGGGAGATATAGTAGCCAGTGACCCAGACGCGTCTCATTCAACTCTACAGGGCTGTGGCTGCCCAGTCTACACTGAGGTGGGCAGGCCTCTCCACTTACTCCACTTCCTGGGACAGAACTCACTGGTACACTGGAAGGAGGATGCACGGGGCAGGGACCCTGGCCTCCCAGTACAGGAGCAGGGTCACTGGCCTCCATTAGCTCCACTCTACATAGAAGGGGGCTAGTGAAGGTGCAGACACATGTGTGAAATAAGGGATCTGAGAGAGTGGTCACAGTCAGCCCACTGGCCTGGTGTGAGGACAAAACCACAACTGGGGTCACCATGTACCACCTGTCCTAACACTCTGGGGAGTTCCTCAGAGGGAGATGGGGCACACAGATGGGCTTGTGACCTCCTAACTCTCTCTACTATGCTCAGAATCTAGGGATCAGGATCAAAAGCTAAGGAGGGTAGAGAAGCAAACGCAGCAAACCAACCGGCTAGGGAGCAGGGGAGCTCTGGGTTGGGCTCTAAGGGCCTAGGCACAGATGGGGCTCTCACCCGAGGCGGACACAGGCTTGCCAGCTGAGGGTGCACCCCAGGCATCTGTTGCTTTCCCAGCAGTGGGGGCAGGCAGTTGTGAAGCTGCCCAAGGGTCAGAGTTCTGGGGAACAGAGTGTGTGCTAGCCGTGGTGGGTATTCCCCATGGGTCCACAGAGGCCGCCGGCTTGGCACCTGAGGAAAGACAGGGTCAGGGCTTAGAGATGCCTTCAGGAAATTCTGAGTAGCTGGGACGAGAAGAGAAAAGAGATAGACCACACTGGAGTTTCTGCCCTCTCTCTGTCAGGTGAGTCAGTCACCGAAGGCTGGGCAGAGCTGCAGCTGAGGTCCACCCTTTGCGAAGGCATAATGTCAGGCCATGAGATGGGAACAGTCCTTCTGGGAAGACCAGAGAGGTTACAGCTGAGACCTCGCCACACTCCCTTCCATATCAAGGGCCTACATTACAAGGGGCTCCCTAGGCCAGCCCCACTTCAACAGACTATGGGACAAGCTTCTCTCGCCAGGACCCAGCTGCCCCCCACAACCTGGCAAAGGAGCCTGGCAGTTCGCTCACTCTGTGATAGCTGTCCAGAGGTCCTGGAGGCACTTCTCTCACATGCTTTGAGTGGTTTCTGCTTTCTGAAGGAGTAGATGGCTAAGTACTAAATGAAGAGAAATAACAAAACAAACAGCTACATACTTACCACCAGCTTAAGAAAAAAAAGAAAAACAGAAAACACTTTCAACTGTGAGTAGAAGATCAAGATCAACTTAATGAGTCACAACTTTTTTTTGAGACTGGATCTTGCTATGCAGCTCAAACTTGTCTTGAACCTCACTATGTAGCCCCAGGCTGGCCTCAAGCTCACGGCAACCCTCCTGCCTCAGCCTCCCAAGTATCAGAATTACAGGCATGTACCTCCACACTTGGCTCACAATTACCTTTTTTGAATTGAGAAAAGCAGCACGCATCTAAAGAAAGTGTCAGCCATAATGCAGATGTCTTCTAGTCACATGCAATGCACCACACTCACACACTGCTATCTTCAGAGGACCACAGACACCTCCCATGACTCCTCTCCCACCCCGATTATCACAAACCCCGTATCAGCCATTCTCTTGCTTTTCCTTCTAGATAATCATACTCTGCACACTTTTTGAAACAATCTATTGTTTAGCTGTGCCTGTTTCCTGAACTTTATATAAATATACTATGTCTTCCTTTGTGACTTTGTTCAGTCCACACTGTATCTGGGAGATTCAACTAAGTTCGCCTATAGCTGAAATCTGTCTGTTTTGTTGGGGTACAGTATTCCACTCTGGCAACACTGCTGGCTGCTGGTTTTAGTCTGCTGTCGCTTTGCTCTGATGCCTATTCTTGTCCACATTCCCTTGTGTAGGGCACACATGACTTCTGGGTTACAAGTACCTTCAGCCAGTGATGCTGAAAGCACTTCTGTAATTGAAACAGTTGGTACCTCCCCAGCAGTGGCTGCTAGTCCTGGGGTCCCAGATGTCGCCTCATCACCTCTCAGGTACGCTTTATCTTACTTCTTCATTTGTGCCAGTCCAGTGGGTGTGAAGCTAATTTACACTGGGGTGACGTGCAAGTTAGGCTGTCAAGTTAATCACAGGGCTCCCTACTCTGCTGCACCAACCTGTGTATCAACTTCCACTGCAACACATTCTTAATTACCTCATACACGTTACGATTCTTGAACTCCAGTAAAGAAAATTCCAACCTGGGTCTTCACTGTTCTTGGCCCTCAGCTCTTTCACATTCATCTTAAAATCATCTTATAAATTAAAAATTAAAATTTTAAAACATGAAAAAGAAAAACCTGCTTGAGACTTTCACTAGAATTGCACTGAGTACCAGATCACCTAGAAAAAGTATTATCACAATAATATTGGGTTTTCCAAAGTAAAACCATGGGAGAGCTCTCTATATTCATGTAAGTCATTATTATCTTTCACTGACATTTAATCTTTATCTTTTATCTCCATAAGAGGTTTATGCAACTTTTGTAGGATTTATTCCTAGGAACCTGCTACCAATGCTAATAATTGGCATCATTTTATGATTTTGTATACTATCTTTGTATCCAATAATATTGCTAAATAATATTAACAATGGGAAGTTATTCTAATTGATTCTAATAATTCTTAATCCTAACAATTTATCTGCAAAAAATTTTGGTATCACCTGCCAGTGCTAATTATCTGATGTTTTCTTGCTAATGCTGTATGGCCCTTTTCTTATCCTGCTGCACTGGCGAGGACCACCAGGCACAACAGAAAGAAGGCTTGATATGGGTATCTCTACCTTGCTCTTGATCCTACAGGATCAATTTTCAACACTTTAGCTTTATGTTAGCTATGGGCTTTTCTTCCTTTTAGAGTCTTTTATCAGGTTAGAAGTTCCCCATAATAGCCAGTGGTGGCTCATGCCTGTCATCCCAATACTCAAGAGGCTGAAGTGGGAGGATCCTTGCGAGTTCAAGACCAGCCTAGGCTACAAAGTGAGCTCAAGGCCAGCCTGAAACTGCATAGCGAGACCCTGTCTCAAAAAGACCAAAAAAAAAAAAAAAAAAAAAAAAAAGTTCCCCATTATTCCAATTTTGCCAAGAATTTTGCAATAAATGACAACCCAGTTGGGGTTTTTATGTTGTTATTGTTGTTCTTTTTCTTTTTTGTCTTTTTGAGACAGGGTCTTACTATGCAGTTCAGGCTGGCCTTGAGTTCACTTTGTAGCCCAAGCTGGTCTCAAACTTGCAACGATCCTCCTGCATCAGCCTCCCCTGTGCTGAGATTAAGGCATGTGCCACCACGCCTGGCTACAACTCAGTTCTTACCAAATTTTCCATATTTTTTTTTAATTTCCTGATTTTAAAATTCTTTCACTAGAATGTTTGTACTTATAATCATTAGTGAGGTAGCCTGAAATGTTTGTTCTCATACTGTATTAATCTTTATCTGGGTATGCCAGACTTATAAAATTAGGAATATGCCCTGTTTTCCTACTCTGAAGAAGGCTGTATAAAGTGGAACTGTTTCTTGAATGTGGCTAGAATTTGTCTGTAACATTCTTTGGGTAAATCTGGGAAGGGAACTCAGTTTAAGTACTAATTTCTTTCATGATGACAGAACTGTCTGTATTTATGTTTCCTATTATTCTTCAGTCAGCTTTGCCAAGTTTTCTCTCTAACACATTTCACCTGAGTTTGTGATTTGTAAATACAGAGTTAATCAAAAAGTTTCTCACTAGATTGGGCTTGGTAGTGCACACCTGTAACCCCAGCACACAAGAGGCTAAGGCAGGAAGACTGCTGCATGATGAGGCCAACCTGGGTTATAATGCATTCAAGGCCAGCCTGAACTGTATAGTGAAACTCTCTCAAAAAGACAAAAAAAAAAAAAAAAGCTTTCTAGCTCTGTATTACATCCCAGCACTGTCTTGAGTTATACTGTTTTATTCCCTAACTCTACTTATCCCATTTTTTAAAAAAATTAAACCTATCAGAAATTGGGTTATTACTATTTTTAAACTATGACATTCTTTGTGGATATTATGTTTATCTAGTTTATTAATTTGTCTCCTTATGATTTCTTTCTGCTTTATCCAGATAAAATACTATTCTATCCTCATTAATTCTGATTTTCTTCATACTAATGTCAGCGCTTATTAAAGCTACACTTGGGGCTGGGGATTTAGCTCAGTGGCATAAGCGCCCGCCTTGTAAGCAGGCAGTCGTGAGTTCGATCCCTGGTACCGATAAAAAGGAAAAAGCCAAAAAAAAAAAAAAAAAAAAAGCTATACTTACTAAAGCTAAGTATTGCTTAAATTGTTATATTAAAGCTTACTATTGCTTAAATTCTTCTATAAATTGTTATAAAATATGTTATGTGGCTCAAAACATTCTGGATTTTCATTAGTTTTTTTTTCTTTGACTTGGCAATTTACATTTGGGGAGGTAGAGGGTTGGTTTTTTTGAAACAGTGCCTTGCTGTGCAATTAAGGCTGGCCTTGAATTCACTATGTCATTTAGGCTGCTGCCTCAAACACGAGATGATCCTCCTACCTCAGCCTCCCAAGTACTGAGATTACAGGTATGTGACAATACGCCCTACTAAAATTAATTTTTAAATTTCAAACACACGATTTTTCTCTTTCCCTCTCTACCTCCCTCCCTCTTTTTATTAGAGATTGAACCTAGAGCCTTCACACTGAGCTACAACCCCAGCCCTTATTAATTTTTGTTATTTTGACATAAGGTCCCATTAAGCTGCCCAGGCCGGGCTCAAACTTAGAATCTTCCTCCTGCCTTGGGCTCTCACAGTGCTGGGGTTATAGATATGCACCACCATACAAAGGTTATAGAAGTTACCATATATAGGTTATCTATTTATCTTTTTGTTAACCCTTGTGTTTGTGGTGCTGGGCATTAAACCCAGGGCCTCATACATGCAAAGCAATTGCTCTACCACTGAGCTACACCCCCAACCACTGTTACTAATTTTTTTTTAAAGTACTGTGATCAGAACTTAAATGTACTATAATGTCATGTGATTTTTTTAAAGTTTGTTGAGGCTATCCATTTTGTCCAGCACATAATTTTTTCCAAATATGCTGCTTGAAATTGTAAAGAATGTATAGTCTCAGGCAGGGGATTTAGCTCAGTGGCACAAGCACCTGCCGGGCAAGTACAAGGTCATGAATTTGATCCCTGGTACCAAAAAAGAAGAACATATATTCTCTTAATTGTAAGGAATGACAAATTTGTTAGCTTATAAATTGCACCACTAAACCTTTTCCATTCTCAATACTTTTAAAATAAGATCTGTGTCTCTACTGTATTTTTCCCTGTCAGTCTGAAGAATTGCACTCAGTGTTGCTACACTGACCATACATTAGCAACAAACTCTTAGTGTTCAATTACCAGGAGGTGACTTCACTCCTGGTAATTGCACCTTCATTCTTCAAGACTGCCTTCACTGAATATAGATGTCTAGAGATAGCTGGACAGCACTTGGGAGGCTTAGGCAAGAGAATCACACAAGTTCAAGGCCAGCCTGAGCTACTTAGCAAGATTCTACCTAAAAACAAACAAACAATTTTGAATTTAAAAAAAAAAAAAATTCTGGGTGCCGGGGATTTAGCTCAGGGGAAGGAGGTCCTGGCTGGCAAGCAC